CCGTGGTTTAATCGAGGTCCAGGTGTCGAATGGCCAGAACCACAGGCTACGCCTCTGCTTCCCGTCGGCTGGGCTGTGTTCCTCCAGTGGTCCAGCGCACGTTCTCCTGTCAGCTGCATCTCCTCCCTCCTTGCATCTGAGTCATGAGGCCTCATTGCCCTGTTCTACCTCCGGCACGTAACCGGCGGGGGACCTACTGATGGTGCCTTGATGCCCCTTGTGGTAATTTGCCCCAAAGAAGTGGCCCCTAGGGGGCGGACGTGAGCATTGGGTAGGGACATAGAGTAATTAAAAGGAAATGGTGATATGGAGCTGGGGTGGCCTGACTGTACCCGCACATGTCCTCAGAGCGCCCCCTGGAGGGAAAGTTCAGCTAAATGTCACTGGTTGTTTCTCTCGTTGCTGAAAAATGGGTAAACATGAAAAAGCAGATGATGTGGGGAGAATGACAAATACCCTATATAGCAAATGTTCTTTGGGGTGCGTCTGTCCTCCTCCCCGTTGGATTAACGTGTAGGGACACTGCTGAGCCGTCTTCATTCCTGGACACTCTCTTCAAGGGACTATGATTTCCTGACACCCCTGGGGGCAAATGTGACACCCCTACCCCCTTCCCCTTTCAGACAAACATCTTAATCCAGGACTGTTGAAGAATATCCTGTAAGAGGTTGGAAATAATTGAATTTACTCTGGACTGAGTCCAGCGTCCTGATGGAACTGTCAGGAGAACTTCCTGAATGGGTTCCCAGAACAATACACACATGCTATACAATGTCATTAGTATGGGCCGGTGGAGCCCCCTCCTGGCCATCTCAGGAGGTACCTAGGGATGTCAGATGGGAGCCGGAACCTGGGCTCTCCCCTGCACCCCCACCACGCTGTCTTCTGTCATGTTCAATTGGGGGAACTCCGAGAAGCTCGGGGGGTGGAGGGAGTGGAGGAGGTTATGGGTTTGCCGCCCCCCTGAAGGAGACCTAACCCTAACCATCTACCCAGCAATACCCTGAGTAGTAATCACAGTAGGTTCCAGCTTTGTCTTATCTTTATGTTGTACTCATTATGAACATCATTACTCATTAGATGTGGTTTATTTCGTCAGCTGTACTCATTCTGAACATCTGTATTCATTAGCTGGGGTTTATTTACCAAGTGGTACTCATGAATACTGATAATATAAACCCCAGCTAAAGAGTATCTTCCTAGGTTGGCTCATTTTGAAGATTGGTACTCATTAGGGTTGGGAGGTCGAACTTTATTTGCATAAAATTTGAGTCTTAGAAATATTTTTAAATCAATGGCAAAAATCAACTATTGAATTTTTAAAGATTTATATAGGTAACTACACATCTCACACATTTCCTCAATTTTGTTTTGCCTAATGGCCCTCGTCACTTAATGTAGATCTGGCACTAGGGGCCGACAGCCATAAATTGAGCTATTAAAAATGTATGAAACTAACCAGCAAGAAAACTAGTGAAGTGATGTGTGAATCAGAAGAATGTGGCAATACAGTAACTCCAGGAAACCTGAAAAGCTCAACTGGAAACTGTTTTGGATTTGGCCAGCAGTCTTTGTCCAGCAGTCTTTGTCATTGCCTTAAAATTGCATTTGATGGCATGTCTTTTGTTTGTCTTAAGATTATTTATGCATGTAAGTATATATCAGCTGTCCTTTGTTAATCGATACTTTAATTTCATGCTGCAATTTAGACGGCTGGAGTGAGAGAAGACGGGGACGGGAGATTGACAGACGTCTCGGTGCAGCGTCGGCAGTGATGTGGACGTCATACCGTTCTCTTGTGATAAAGAGGGAGCTGAGCTGGAAGGCGAAGCTTTCAATTTACCAGTCGACCTACGGTCCTATGGTCATGAGCTCTGGGTAGTGACCGAAAGAATAAGATCGTGGATATAAGCGGTCAAAATGAGTTTCCTCCGCAGGGAGGCTGGGCTCAGCCTTAGAGACGGGGTGAGGAGCTCAAAGTAGAGCCGCTGCTCCTCCGCATCAAAAGGAGCCAATTGAGGTGGTTCGGGTATCTGTCTGGGATGCCTCCTGGACGCCTCCCAGGGGGAGGTGTTTCGGACGTGTCCAACAGGGAGGAGGCCCCAGGGCAGACCCAGGACATGTGGCCGGCCTGGGAACGTCTTGGGATTCCCCTGAAGGAGCTGAAGGAGGTGTCTGGGGAGAGGGAGGTCTGGGTATCCCGGCTCAGACTGCTGCCCCCGCTACCCGACCCCAGATAAGCGGCAGATAATGGATGGATGGCTGGAATTTGACCTTTTTGCTGTTGCTGCTGGTGGTTTTTTGTCCTTTGGGTAGTTAATTAAAAAAAAAATTATGTTATTGTCTCATTTTCCTCGCATAAGTCAATAGTAGAGTAACCCTGCAGGGCCCTCACCCTGCCGCTTGTGGTTTAGGCTGAGAGGTGGGCTGAGTCTGTAATACATTAGTAATCAATATTATAATAAATCTTATAAAAATTCAAATGCCTTTTTAAAAAGTGTCCCCTCCCTAGTACGCATTATTTGTAGTTTATTTCCCCAGCTGTACTCATTTTGAATATTGGTACTCATTATGGCAGGTCATGTGACCGTTAACCAATGAGACAAGCCCTTGGAAACCTGCAGCGGTGCATCAACGGGCCTCTGAGACTTCCTGTTACACATGGGTGCAGGTGTCGCTTGGGGGGGGGGGGTTTACATTAACCCGACGCTTTTGTCTAACGTGACGCCGAAATGAGGCAGGTCATACATCTCAGGCTTTCAGCTGTCAAGGAGCCGGCTTTGGTAGGAGAGTGACTGGGAGGAGCTTCCTGCGACGGACCAGGAGGGGCCTGGTGGAGAATGCCCCCCTCCCACTGCCTGCACGCAAGGAAGAGCTCGCAGAATACGGTGTGAGAAAATGGATTGATGTTCTCTGCCTTCCTCAGAGCACTGTTCGGGGCCTTCTTTTAATGAGGGATCATCGAGTCACACTGGCTGGGCTGCCACCCGCTGGCACCGCCCTACTGGGCTATAAAGGAAGAACTGCAATCATCTTGTTTGTGAATCGGAGTGGTGCTGATGTAGAAAACACATGATATTGAAGCCATCGCATGTGGCCACCTCTCTTGAGGGTAGGATTGATGTGCTGACTGTGGTCCTCTGCAGCTGGAGGCTGATTGAATGACCTTGGCTGCCCTTCACTTTTGCCACGACGATCTATATGGCCCATGTAGCGTTAGCAAGAGTTAGTGCATTAAACCTAAGATCTGTTTGTAAAATCCTCTGAGTGTGACAGGAAAGGAGAACAAATGCGTGTGTCTGTACATGTATATGTACGTTCTTTTCTAAACGGGGGGCATTTGTGGGAAAATCACCCCACGAGGACAGTGAACTCTAAATCTGAGACTGCAATGGGATGTGCCCAGGTGTTAAATTGATCTGAGCCTGGATTCCTTTACGTTCTGCTCACTGGGGGCATTCGCCCCCCCACCCTGTCTAACCAAGCCCTACAGAGGCAGCCATCTGTGACGTTTATGCCTCGTCGCTCAGCCAGGGCATATGCACATGTACCCAGCCCCCCAGGCCTGAAGGACTGAGGCACGTGCTGGAAGCCCCACCTGTGACATCACCGCTGAGTCACAGCCACACACCTGCGTGAGTGCTCTGACTCTGCTCTGACTCTGCTCTGAATCCGGGAGCAAAGCCTGCATCTGAGACTCATGGCTGCATTTCTACTGATGGGGGGGGGGGCGGAATTCAAAGGCAGCCGGATAAACGTCGCCCTGCTGGTTTGAAAATTACAAAAATGAATGCGGAAAGACAACAAATTTTAAAAGAGTTGTTTGAGGTGCTTTGGAAAAGAGAACATGAAAGGCAGAAAGATTTTTTATATGCTGGGTAGGTCCTGTTCTCGCGTTTGGGTATTTAGGCAGGCATTTGACTATCGTGCTTCAGTTTGACTACTTGGCTGTCTGGTCTGATTTCCCTGCCTGTGTGAATGTGTGTACGTGCTCCTGCGTCTTTCCCTCCCTCCGTGTTTTTTCATTCTTGTCACAGCTGTTTGTTGTCTGAGGTGACTTGCAGGTCAGCGGCTGCAGACACGCTGTGTAACGTACCATGAAATGCTGTAAACGAGTATCAGCGTGAGGTCAGCCTTGTAACAGCAGCGTGCGGCACGACTTGCTAACCTCCCAGCTGAGTTTCAGGTACAGTAATATGAAATCGAAAGGGTGATTCGCGTCGGATGTTAATTACCACCAACCACCCGCTCCTGTTTGGAATTTGCAGTTCTCCCATCCACCACACGCACCCACCTCACCCAAGCCGTAAGAATAACCCCGAGGCTACTGCCTGTGAGCTTTGGGGGGTGGGGGAGGTGTCTGTGAGCTGGAGGGTTGTAGGGTAACGGCAGAGACCGGTTTAAATGAGCTTGTGTGTCACCATGGCGATTAATTGCTATCCTGGGCCAGCTGACAACAGGTAATGCACTTGATTGGAGCTGGTCACGTACTTGTGCGGGTGCCATCAGCGGGAGCCGCTCTCGTGTCCTGAGTGTGATGTGTTCACATGCTGGGGAGCAGCTTGTGGTCCTTTAAGTTCACCGTTTCGGTCATTACTGTATCTGAGCCACAGAGGCCAGGGGAGGGAAGGGGTGCAGCACAGTGCAGTAACTGCTGAATAGCAGCTGTCAGGCTTGGTTATATTAATATATATTAATAAAGTTTGCCTTTGGGTCCAACCTGGTCCCCACTCACCACTGCCCAGCCGCAGCAATGCTCATGGTAACTGGGGCAGAATTACAGGTCTCGGGGGGGGGGGGGGGAGTCTGTGGCATGGCCAAGACTGAGGAGGCGGGGTCACTGCAGGGTGGAACCAGGTAAGACGCACTGCACTGCCAGTGACATCATCTCCACCTGCAGCCAATGAGAGAAGGGCCCAGCAATCTAAGATGTTTTACCTCATTAACTCCTCGGTGACCGTTTTAATCCAACGTGCTTTTCTGTTCTTTTTTGTTCCCAGAACAAAGTGCTGAACATCGACGGGGCAAAGGTGAAGCTGCAGGTGATGATGGACGGGAGGGGGTCTCCGATCTGGGGCTGAAGAGCCACTTTGTTAGACACTCCGGGGCTGAGAGCCTGGGGGGCAGAGAGGGAGGATGTGGGACTCGCTGATTAGCGGGGGGGGGCACCTGACCCCAGCAGGGCCCTCCGTCAGCCCATCAGAGGGCTAGGTGACTGCGTTCGGGGGCGACTCCCCCAGGGGGTGTTCTGGTGTGTTTAATCGCACAGCTGGAGCTTTTTACCCTGTTTTTGTGTGTTTTCACCCTGTTTTTGTTCCTGTTCCCCACTCTCCAAAGATCTGGGACACGGCTGGACAGGAGCGATTCCGCAGCGTCACACACGCCTATTACCGTGACGCCCACGGTGAGCCTGCTGCCGGACCCCCTCCCACTGCCCCCCTCCCCCGTTCCTCCCTGTATGACTGTGTATGGGATCCCATTTCCCCACCTGAAGCCATCCACCGGCACACCCCCCCCCCCCCCCCCCCCCCCCCCCCCCCCCCCCCCCCCCCCCCCCCCCCCCCCCCCCCCCCCCCCACACACACACACACACACACACACACACACACACACACACACACCCTCAGCGCCTGTCACTGCTCTGAGCCCCCTACCCCCCAGTCTGGCACCCAGCCCTCTGAATGCTATCTGCTCATAATAGCGCCCCCCTTTGTGTGTAATCAGCACTGTAATCCTGCCTGAGGCTCAGCCATGATGGCAGCATGCTTGCAGAGTGACAGAACACTTAGCTCCCATTGCAAAAACATTATGGATATTGGAACATAGATCCAGATTGTGAAGAGCAACTGGTTTGCCTTTGTCGGTAGAGCTAGTAAGTCTAGTTTTCTATATCTATACCCCATCCATACACGCGAATGGCATTTCTAACCCATTCCACTGAGGATAATTAACCAATGGGAGTGAAGAGGGCGTGGCCTTGTCCCCTGGGAATCGCCATGGCAATGCAGGTATCTCCCTGCGTCGGCTTCATGGAGAGGAGAGAGTCACTGAGAGATGGGATGCGAGTGGTGGGGGTGGGGTGCCACTGCTGCCCCCCTCCTGCTGAAACGACATCTCTGAATCCGCGTTAGCATCCGCGCCTCGTCCGCGCGGCTGGTGATGCCCAGCAGATAAGCTCGATTAAAGCCAGTCAGTCGGTTTAAGCCATTCATCTGCACGGTGGAAATCATCTGGCTTTAATTCAGCCCCAACTGATTTTAGAGCCTGTGGAGTGAAATATTTACTGCCTGCGTGGCGCTTTGGGGGGCCGTTGCTCGTTAGCGTGAGCGAGTCAGGAGGTGCACTAAGCCTCATCACTTCACACACACACACATTCTGCACTTTAAAGGTATTTGCATACATTTCGGTTTCACCATGTAGGAACTGCAGCCCATTTTATACATAGTTGGATGTTCCTGTTTGAAGTCTGCGATTCATGGGCATCTCCAGGTGCTGAGAATCCTCCCTGTTCCGCAGCGGCCTTCAGCTCCTGCTTGATTCGGGGGCTTGTCCCCATTCCGCTTCCTCCTCAGCAGATGCAAGGCGTGGCACGGTCCTTGGGGGTCAGGTCAGGTGACTGACTGGGCCATTACTTTCGCTGTATGTTTGAGGTCATTGTCTTGCTCTAGGATGAATTTGGAGACATTTGCTTGAACTTGAGCCGGTTAGATGTTTCTGTGCACCTCAGAATTCATTGTGCGACTGCCAGACTGTTCAGTGAAGATGTTTACCGGAGCCTGTGGCAGTCATACACGCCTCGGATCTTGGGCGGTTCCTTTTCATCTCTACTCTTTCTTCTTGCCATCACTCTGATACGGATTAATCTTTCCAGAATTTTGCAGACTCTTGAGACCTGTAATCTGACCGTCCTCTTCTGGCTAACTACTGGTTTGCCTCATGCATTGCAGCCTCTGTGTTTCCGTTCCTAAAGTCTTCTGCAGATATTAGTCTCTGACAGACACACTTGCCTCCTAGAGACATTCTGATCTGTTGGACCGGCGTTTGGGGATTTTTCTTCTCTGTGGTGCAGATTCTTCTGGCCTCCCAGTCCCTTTGCAGTTACTGAGCTCTACGCTCCTCCTTCTTAATGACATTCCAACCAGTTGTTTTTCAGCCTTATGATGGCTTCTTTGACTTTGACAGACAGACCTCTGGCCCTCATAGCAGCTGGGGACTCCAAAGGTGACCGAACGCCTAGCAGCAAGCCTGGGTAGCTCACGGCCGCACCGATAAGGCAATTAAACACGCCTGAGTTATCACAACAGCTGCGAAGCCAAATGGCCCAAACATTATGTAGCCCTGAAATGGGGGACTGTGTATATAAAGGGCTGTAATGCTTTCATGGTGAGACCGAAATGTACACGAATACCCTCAATTTATAGTCTAGAATGTGCACTTTAATCACAAGTGAATTGCTTAATTTAGAAATTTTAAACTTTTGGAGCGCAGGAGTAAACAAGGAAAAACGTGTCTTTGTCCCAGTTGCCGTGGTGGGGGTTGCATGGCTGATTGTATGGTCGGTTTTGTTTTCCTTTCTTGGCCCTTAGAATAACCCCCTTTCCCAGTGTACTAACCCCCCCCCCTACCTTTTTATTAACCCCACCCCTAACCCTAATAGCTTAGGGTTCCCATTGGCTCCTGCTTCCATTTCAGTGGGGCGGGGCCTCGCTTCTCGACACTGCCGGGCCATGCTTGTTTTTGCCTAATTATAATGGTGTCGTGATGAGATCAAGGTGCCGTGAAAACGGGATCAGCGACTCGACGATTAATAGGCCTTCGCACCCGCAGGCTGACATTAACTGAGGTCATGAGGTCACTCAGCGCCAGGTATGCCCCCCCCCATACTCCGCCCCCATGTCACATTCATCCATGCCCCGCCCCCATACCCAACCCCGAGAGGGGGATGGGAGTAACCGCAATTGAACCAAGGAACCTGCCCACTGCCTGGGTCACCCCCCTCCCCCCCCGATATTGAGCCCAAAAAAGTAAGCAGCTCTGCCTGGAGGAGTTTTACCTCGCTGGCCTGGGGGGTGTTCTCTTCCCCAACACTTAAAATGAAGATTCACCGCCTTACTGGTGCACGGATGTCAGCCGCTGGGTAGTGAGTTTCCCCTGTGTGCCCCAGTAGTGACGGTGACAGGCACTCGTACCCGTGTTCTTTGCATAGGGAGTCTCATGTTCCCTCCACCCCCCCGACTTCCCTGCCGCCGTCTGTGCCCCCTTGAATGCAGATTAATTTAATTTGCATCACAGGCATTAATAGGCGCCTGTTGTTTCACCAAATCAAAGCGCCTTGGAAACAATCAGAGCAGAAAGGTTCTAAAAAGCATCGCCGGAAGGAGGGACTTGTATGCAGCCCTCCCATATCCTGATGGAGTTGGAATAAATGTGCCTGTGATCAGAAGGTTGCTGGTTTAAATCCCAGGATCGGCAGATTGATTTGACCTCCTGAGCAAGGCCCTTAATCCCAGTTGCTCCTGGGACTCAGTGCCCCTGATTATCGATTGTACCTTGTTTTGTATAAACCCGTCTGATATATTACATATATTAAATGTGAATATTGGCATGCATTGCTGAATCGTATATGCTATCTGGACCTCAGAAGGCTGCATGTTTGAGTTCCCTGCTTTGGCCATCCCAACTCCTTTCTGTCCCCGGGTCCCACTCAAGCTTGCCGTCTGTTCTTTTTTTGTCCACCCATAAATTTTGTCCCCAAGGTAGAGCCTTAAAGGGATGGGTGGCTGTCTGACCTGCCCCTTTAAGACACCTCCCACAATCCTCTCTGTTTCTCTCATGGTCCCACGTTGATGCCAGTTTTGAATCCATCATTCTTCCATGACATGAAGCGGTCACGGAGCTGTGACAGACATCACGTAACGCTGATGGCTGTGAAACATCAAGAGACAATTGGTGATAATATTAATGACTTTCATACGATGTAAGGCAAACCAGCACAATAACAAGGAATCCGTTGCTGGCAATAATGGTTTAATGGGATTAGCATATAGATCATTCTCGGCAGGCTCTAATTTGTCGATTGATTAACCTCTCACTCACTTTGCTCCGTCTGAATTTTTACTCTGTTAGTGTTTCCTGTCCTTCCCCACAGGCGAGGCAGATCTGACCCCCACCCCACCTCATGCAGCGTATATGTGTCCTGGAGGGCAGAATACATTGAGGTTATTTCCTGTAAAATAATTGTTTTATTTATAAATCATTTCTTTCTTGTGATTGGCTAGCACCAGGGCTTCCCTGCAAGGGATTGGCTAGCTCTGTGCCCCATTGTGAGTGAATCACCGGCATGAGAATAGCCCGTAATGGACCTTGGAGCTATGTTCTGATTAACAATGGGCCACTGGAGCAGGTGCTGATTGCTTTGAATCTCACGTGTCTGTGTGTGTGTGGGGGGGGCGTAGGGGGGGTGGGCGTACCCTGTGTTCCTTACCAGAAGCTGCCGTCGGGGGAATGTTGGACATTTTGTACCCTAGTTCGCTTGGGAACAGTGGAGACGGTGATGAGCAATGTCAGCTGGTGTTGCGAGGGATTTAGGGGTCCCGCCTACAAATGAGCGGGGGGGGGGGGGGGGGTCTTATCTACAAATCCACTGCCAGGTTGTTTAGAATAATAGAAATGCCTTATTAATTAATCCCCGTAAGGAAAAATTCTCTTTTCGCCTCCCCCATCTCACCCTCTAATGAGACACACAGACGCACATACAGGTCAGAATAAGGTTGGGGGTCACAGCACAGGGTCAGCCAGCATGCAGCAGCCCTGGAGCTGCGGGTTAAGGGCCTTGTTCAAGGGCCCAACAGAGGCATCAATCTGCCAGCCTGGGGATTTGAACCAATGACCTTCTGATCACAGGCACAGAGTCTGAACCCAATAGGGCTGGGCCATGCATCAAGACACAGCGATAAGATTACACTTCTAGGTTCTCTGTTCTAGCTTCAGTATCAGTGCAGAACCAGGCCCAGGTCTCATGGGTCCGGTCTCAGTCTGGGTCTCAACCATTCTGCCTCCGACTGCTGCTTCAGAAAAACGTCCAGAGACACACTGAAGAGCAGACACTGAGCGCCATGCTTCCTGCGGTGTTCAGGAGGGAGGAGAAGCCTGATCAGCCAAGATCACAGGCGGCACTCATTCGGAGAGACAGGCGCCGCCTCTCTGTGAGTGACGGAAGTGAGGTGACTGACTGGCAGTAACACACTAACCCCGTGAAGGGTGACCAGTTAATGAAGCTCACTGATTGCCTTCAATTAGAGATCACTGCACTCTTGCATCGTTTAGCCCTGGAGAGGCTGGCCTGTGTCCAGGTTGCCAGGTAACACAAGAAGAGGAGCCTTTGCAAATGAACGACCCCCAGCTGACTAATTAACGGAAGCGGGTCCAACGCCCAGGGGAGTCACCCACCATCTTAGGCTCTATTTTATTAGCCTGCTGTAGCATTGGGACATTGTGTCTATCATCTCCTCACACCTCCACAGCTGGGTGTTGGAGCCCGCCCCCCTTGTGTGGGCGGAGCCTGCATTGCGTTCTCTCCCTGGGCACCCTGGCTCCCTCCCGCAGTCCATGACGTGCAGCTGGGTTCACTGACCATGCCTGTAGTGTATGCTGCCCCCGTAACCCTGACCAGCATGAGGGCTCGAAATGTGAATGGATGGATGTTTAGTTTCTGTCACTTTCTATCTTTTCTCTCCTAAAGTCCAGTTTTGGTTCCCTTTGTTTAAGGCAAAAACCAAACAGTGTAGTTTTCCTGGTGTTTCTGCCCCAGTCGAGTCCCAGCCTCATGCGCCGAAGCCCTGTGCCAGCCTCGTGCCCGGATGCAGGATGCCCTGTGCCAGCCTCGTGCCCGGGTCCCCTGTGCCAGCCTCGTGCCCGGGTCCAATGTGCCAGCCTCGTGCCCGGACGCCCTGTGCCAGCCTCGTGTCCACCCCCCCTCCTGTCTTCCTGATTCATCACATTATACTTCCCTCCTTTTGTGGTTCAGTAAGCGTTTCTTATAATGACCCCACCTGGGACCGAAATTCTTTTAGCTGCAGGCTCTCTCTGTTCCAGTTCAGATACACAATAATGTGCATTTTTGGAGGTGGCCCCATCAGAGGGATGACTAACTGCAGTAAGTAGCATACAGTACCAGTCAGAAGTTTGGACACACCAAGCCACCTAAAAAGGAAAGGAATCGTGTTGTGTCACATGACCTGGCCACCTGACCCAAACTCAGCAGAGATGGTTCTGGAGGAGTCTGACCAGAGACTGAGGGCAAAGCGGCCACTGAGTGCTCAGCGTGTCTGTGGGACCTCCTTCAGGACGGCTGGTAAAGCATCCCAGGAGGCCGCCTCATGGAACTGGCTTAGAGGAGACAGCAGGGGCAGCCAGTCCCTGGGGCAGTTGGGGTTAAGGGCCTTGCTCAAGGGCCCAATGGCAGCCCTGCTGGCAGACACTGCTCACCCTGGGATTTGAGCTGGCAACCTTCTGAGTCCCAACCAACAGAGCTGCTCCCCAACTTTTTTATATTTAATCCTGTTTTGCTCAGTGCATAATTCCACACGTGTTGCTTTATAGTTTTGATGTCTTTATTCTAAAATGTAGAGAATTGTTCAAATAAACCTTTTGATGGGTAGGTGTGTCCAAACTTTTGATTGGTACTGTACATACAGAAACAAAGTCTGAGAGACGTAGATGAGGTCGGGGGTCCCCTGATCCCGAAGCCGGCGTGTGTGTTCGTGGCGAGTAGCCTGGTAACGCAGCAGCTCAGAGATAACGACCCGTCACACCAAAGGAAGCGGGAGAAGGAGAGGACCCAAGCGTCTGAGCTGAGCACGTGTCTGTAGGACGGCACGAAGTTGTTGAGCGTCTGTGTTTCGTGACTTGTGGGGTAGAGGGGTGAATTGCGAACTGCGCCAGGCGGTGCCCGTCGAGTGATTCCCCGAATGTGCCTTTCAGTCTTCGTCTCGCTCGAGGGTCGTGCTTGTGACTCTCACTCTCCTCTCTCCCCAGCTCTCCTGCTGCTCTACGACGTCACCAACAAATCGTCTTTTGACAACATGCAGGTAGGACGGGCACTGCCTAGGGGCTTGACGAATGGGCCGCGTCGCATCGCTGCCCCCGCAGGCTGGGGTGGGGAATGCCTGACAGGATGAGCTTTTTTTTCCTACAGAAACTTTCAGGGATGAATATGAACACTTTTTCTAACACTATTAACCTTTACAGGACTTCCTGACCCAGACAGTATAATTTTCCTGCTAGATATTTCACTGGTAGTCTTGGTACAATGCAGCATTGGGGTCTTGTAGTATGGTCTAGGTGACTGTGCCCAAAGATTGGTATCACTCAGACATGGGACACCACAAACGGTCCCATCTGTCCCCTTTGGTTCCGTGTTTGTTTGTGTGCTTGTGGCTTGATTGTATGAAGAACCTGAACGAGATGCCGGCTAAATCAGGTTCGCTTTTCCAAAGTTCCCGTCCACTGAATGCTGCGGTGAGCATCACCCTGACAGAGTGCAGTTTACAAGTACAGCAGCCATGCATGATGATCCATCGTGGTTCATATGGGGTCACACTGGTTATGGATGGGTCAAGATGTCGGTTGCCAGATCTGGCGCAAGGTGATAACCGTGATGCAGGCTTCTCTACCTGACTGGCTTTGGTAATAGAGGTAAACACTGGGATATCAGTTACGACACAGGCGGCTTCCTAGGGTGCTATTCTCTGAGGGAATGTTGACTTAGCAAGCCAATTTCACTTAGTCTCCAACAGGGGGCGCCGGTGGTGAAACTGGCCCTGGGCGTGCGTGCGTGTGTGTGTGTGGGGGGGGGGGTCCTACAGGTACGCCGATCTCAGTCCAGATGGCCTGCCGGTGCCATATGATCTGTCCGGCTGCGTGCTTCACTGCGTTTCCCACCTGTGATGGGTCGGGCCTCCGAGGCGGGTGAGTCAGACGCTGACTCTGCTCTGCCGGGGCGGCCTCAGGTCAGGCCCGGGCCTCCGAGGCGGGTGAGTCAGACGCTGACTCTGCTCTGCCGGGGCGGCCTCAGGTCAGGCCCGGGCCTCCGAGGCGGGTGAGTCAGACGCTGACTCGGCTCTGCCGGGGCGGCCTTAGGTCAGGCC